TCAAACGTTTCTGTTGTGCGCAGTGTTATGTGGAGTGAGACGTCTTTGCTTACACCATCGGGGTTAAGCCAATCCCCCACAGCCAAGCGGGTCAAAATATTGAATCACCGGCTCCGGGCATGATCCCCCGTAAAGACTCTTCTATCCGCTGGCTGGTTAGTCAAATGTTTGAATCAAAGGCTATGGTCGGGGTTACCAGGACAAAACCTCACATCCTCCCACTGCGTTGTGGGTCAAACTTCTAGGTCAAGTGCCGTAGGTGGAACACCTCAAACAAATGCCTTTCCTCAACCTGGTCCCCCATAAAGACTCTTCTATCCGCTGGCTGATTAGTCAGATGTTTGAATCAAAGGCTATGGTCGGGGGTACCAGGACAAAACCCCACATCCTCCCACTGCATTGTGGGTCAAACTTCTAGGTCAAATGCTGTAGGTGGGGCACCTCAAACAAATGCCTTTCCTCAACCTGGGCAACCAGTAAGTATCATTGCCCTTCTTCACCCATCCAATGGTAAATCCATTGCCAATCCCCCAACAGTGTTTTTTGTCTAACTTGTCGCGCAGCAAACCAAACGGAAACAATCCCCTACCAAACTGAGAAGGTCTGATCTAGGTCGCAGCCTTCGATGACCGTACTCCGTCAAATTTGACAATAGGTGTCTCTTGTTGAAACCTTGCTTTCCTCTTCTATTTGAATTCTGGTGATCCTGACATCACATCCCATGGTATCTATGACGTAAGAATTGCGCTCATCTACGAGGCTAAAAACACGGAATCCCAGTAAACAGTCTTATTTGCGCTTTGTTGTCTGATGCCAGACAACCGATCAACGCAGGTCAATGCAGTGAGCGGTGTTTGTCATGTCCAAGTTGGACGACTAAGCCCGGAAGAAGCGCCAATAGTGGTAGATTGAGAGTCCCAGCAGTGCCCATCATGCAGACAGTGAGGGGTGACGTCGTCTGCTCCTGGCTACTTCGAACTTCCAACGCAAGCACCACCAAATACGAGCCATTCATGGACTCATTTGGATCATGTGACTGTCAGTTACCGATGGAGGGCCTCGATTAGAGATTGCTCTTCCTTCTCGGATATGCAACTTCATTCAGATATATCATTGGTCTCGATTATCAGTTCGCTTTCCCTCCTGATTACGTATGCCTGAGTGGAGCCGTTGATCAGCTTTGACAAGTTAGTTGCCTTTAGGAAAAAGAAACTGTCCCACGCTCCGTAAGTTACATTAGTCAGGAAATGTACTCTGCATGATAGAGGACCGTCTGTCTCGCAGAGCTCTTTTGCCCAGTCTTGTACTGAATGGAATCTACCGAGAGGTGGACAGTCTATCCTTGATATGAATGTGCTAACCGCTAATCGGGTTGGCAACTGCCATCCACTTCGATGAGAACCACGAAATCCAGCTCATCGGTAGTTAGTGACACTGGTAGGCGTGGCTGGCTCACGCAATCAGTCAGTCCACCGGAGACGACAACATCATTGTTAATGTTGATACTCCAATAAGTCCATTTGATTATATTTAAAATCCTGAAGTGAAAAGGAGAGGAAAATGGGGCGCTGACTTACCGCAATCATTCCTAGGTGCATGTAGCGGACATTTCCTTGCTCTCTCAACCAACTTCACTTAATTTGTCTAGTAAATCCGTGTTCACTAGATCGGGCTACTCGCCCGCTCCGCAAGCACAAAAAACACGTGACAAACCCTGTCCAGCTTGCAACCTTGACCGACAACAAGTCAGTTCCCGTCTTGTACGCATCGGAGCGGTTCTATGTATTGTACACATATCAAATCTTCTTATACATAGGAATACACAACGCAGGCACCACACAAATGCGCGTAGAGGGCAGGAAGTCAGCCAAACACTTCAAGACCACGGACAATTACGGAACAGGTGTAGCAGCTATACTGCGGAGCATACACGTTCCCGCCGTCCGGACTTTTATCCAGGAACTCTCACGAGTTATCCACAAACGATAAGTCACCTTTTGACTTATCCGATTGTTCGCATTGTATTTTATCATGCAGCAACCGGTAACTGTAAACTACTATCTACCATAGTAAAAACTGCTATTAGTACATGCACCTTCTGAGTTATATTATGACTATCAGTTATCATATCCTGTGCACTAATATGCCCACACCTCCGAGCGCTCAGTCAGACAGTCTGGAAGAAAACTGTCGGCACGAATGCCACCGATTTTGATTTGCTACCATTTCTTGTAATGTTTTTGGGCAGACACACCCGAATCATGGGACTCCATTCTGGAAGGTAAACTGCACCAATGACACCCAAACTCTTCTTTATCTCTCACATTCGCCAAGTCACATTGTCCGCCTGGCAGTTTGCGCCATTGTTCGGAGGCTAGCCGCTAATAATAACCGAATATCACGTCGATTGGATGTGTCACATTCGGGCTACGGACTAAGCAAAACATACCCTGATTGTTGGGAATGTGGTGAAATAGTGTCAGCTCGAATGCATTCTTTGGTAGTTGATTAGGTGGCTGTTGATCTGTTCGCAGAGCTTGGCGATAGACTTGCGGACGCTTTGTCACCATCCGAAGAGACATCTCCGCCCAACAACGCACTGAAGATGTCTCCAATGGTGACGAAACGCCTGAAAATCAATTGCCAAGCTCGGTGAACATATCAACAGCCACATGATCAATTACCAATACCCTGATTGGTCAGAATGTCAGAAAATCAGGTACTTCTCGCCTTCCCCATAAAGATTCTAGCGCTACCTCGTGGAGCATTCTGTGATGACCCCATAAATACTGTCGTAATAATCTTCCTTTTTCTCCATAAAGAGCTGTTTCAAGCCACCATGTTCTTGGTACACCATAGTGGGCGGAGCAGGAAGCTAAGAGCCGACGTACCAGGTGCATCACCCCAATACACAACGACCATTCTGAAGGTGGCATGGAGAACAGCGCTCGTATCCGTCGTGCATTCAGTGGTGCTCCTGTATCAAAGCCGTAACCATGAATTCATAGCTGTACAGTTTCGGTTTTCTGCAAATTACTAGTCTGATTCAATACGGACTGACTGACTCCAAACATTGTCTTTACCTCCCGCGCCTGTTCCTGCAAATTACTAGCCTGCTTCAATACGGACTGACTAATTATAGCATCACCTCCAAACATTGTCTTTACCTCCCGCGCCTTCCCATTTTCTGGTGAATGAATCTGGGCAGGTGGAACCAACATGCCCTTAACACGTGGTTTATAACTAACTGACTGACCGAGGACGCTTGATGGGGTAATCAACTTTGTGTGTCGGGACTGCTTGGAGGCAGAGATGCTTTGAATTTGACTGGTTTTCTTAGCCTGTATATCAGTTTCGTACGAACTCTATTAAGAATTATCCAGCTGTAGTACCCTTTTCGTGCCCGGCTGCCGTGCCACCAGAATGGAGCACGAGTGCTCTACAGGCCCTACAGTGCTCTACAGCCAGGTTGCCAAGGCTGGACTAGAGCAGTCAAGATGCATATGTCCACGGACCCCCTGGTCAGTAGGTTCGTGTCTTAACTTCTAAGCTATCTCTCTTTAATTGGACACTTTTCCGCTGTGTGATACCCAAACGCCGTTTTCGCTTACTCGTGTACAGTGTTTCAGGATGATGACTGATTTGCGGAATTCAAATCGGAGGTTCCCTGAAAAAGATCATGAAAGTTCGCCAATAATGGTAAGAAATGCATGCATGTCCAACGTAGGTCGCAGCAGCAGTAGTAAAAGACGACGAAAAGCAGTGCTTTCAGAAGATAACTAGAATATCTACACACCCTTGGGAGCCACTTTCAACACCCATTCTATGTGATAGAGTTGTAGCTCATTTCCAGAATCTTTATCGTGCAATTTGTTGGGTACTTTTATTTGTCCTGTTATGCGGCTGTTTTTTCAAACATTCAGACCGCTAACATGTTGGTAGACCTTCCCATCAATTCGCCTTTTGATGTTTTATAATAGCCTTTTAACTTTCAATCATCTTTTGCATTTTGCATCAGGCATGAAAATGGAGCACTTCGATCCGAGTGTCTTCCTGGAAGTCCTGTTAAGGAAACCGTCCCACCCGACCACAATGAAGGTGATACTCCTTCACCTGTTCGTCAGACCCCAAAGCGGCGGAAAGATGATGCGTCTTCAGAGCAGCCATCGGAGTTTCAGCCGTTCACTGCTACCTTAGAGACCCCACGCAAGTCACAACCCGGTGCTTCGGTGACTGAAACGAACTCGCACTTTTCCACTCCAGGGGCTTGCGTTACGGACGGTGAGTTTTTTGACGGACTGCTGGGTGCCCAGTATAACGGACATTCAGTTACGATGCAATTTATGAATTAGGAAGTTCAAAGTACTGAATAGTCCACTATGCAACTTTGATATCTTTTTCCGTGTAAAATTTGAAATACCTAATGGTGCACCATCGTTGAACCACTACTGAACCATCCTGAGCTTATCCTAGGTGCGCTTGAAACCCTAATAGTTTCTGGTCCATATTTTTATACAACCCCCCTGGTTGTCACAACTTTTCCTCCTGACAGAAAGCCACTTCTGCGTCACCAATCAATAGTTCTTTTTGTTTCCTATAGAGGGAAATGTCGGTAGCTCAGGTAGCGTAGATGGTGGTCGTTGGCTTGCTCGCTGAACTGGGCAATTTGATCGCAAACGTTTCATCACCAATCGAAGTGACATCAGTGTGTTATTGTGGAGCGTAGTAGTGCGTAGCCCCCACAATAACGCACTGATGATGTCACCTCGATTGGTGANACCGTTTGCAATAAATTGCCCAGGTCAGCGAACAAGCCAACGACCACCAGTTCTTTTTGTACCAGTTCTCTTTATGGAGCACTCACGTGAATCTCAGCTTACTTGATATCACCGCCCTTTTTTACACCATATATGTCCGGGAGATTGGTCACCGGTGTGGGATAAGTTTACTTTTAATCTTTTATGGAGGCTTTCGAACAATGAGTGCTTGAGAGTTTTGACCAATTGTTACCTCTGGGTTATCTCTGTCTAGGTTTGAGCAACCTGGCAGTATCCCAGCCCTCGTGCTTCCCTCGGGTGGCATGGCAGCTAGGCACCGGAAGGGTGCTATAGCTGAACGCTTTCTTTTTTTCTTTTTCTGGGTTATCTCAGTTTCACGGAATTCAGCCCCATTACCCCACAGACCAGTCGCATATCCATCGGGAGTATGTGCGTGTCTCTAGCGGCCGTCGGGTTGTCAAGTGGAGCACAACCAGAGTAGCCAAGCATGCAAGCGGCAACAGCAAACAAATTAGCTGGATGTACAGTATTTCGTTGAAGATGGGAGTTCTGTGCGCTGGTGTCTTGGGATGAATGCCTCCAAATTTATTTTGTGTTCGAAATGAATACTGCACTGCAGTTCCAAGGCCAGCAATGTGGTTGACGGCGTGAAAAGGCGTTGCGGTCTATTACATCCTGTCGCTAACGAGATAAGAAGGATCGATTTCGACCCTCAAATTAATCCGTTGCTACAGATTCCATTTTGAAGTCGTTTATTATTCATAAATTTGTCCTGAGTTGGTCACTTCAAACTGTGGGTGAGTTGATTGTTCGGAATCATTGTCTCCTGCCGGTGGATGCTGTTTATGTCTCAGCATGTGAAAAAAGTGAGCCAGGAAAAATTGCGACATGAAAATCTCTTCCTAATATTAATACTACAAACCGTTTCCAGTTAGTATTGGCACTTATTAGTGCTGTTTAAAACAGGAAAATTTCCGAGAGCGCCAAGGTTCCCTAAACAAGAAAGAGAGGGAGACGTGACCAATGTACTCATATGTTTTATCTAGATAAGATCAGCTGGTCAACAAGGTTGGCTCCGCAAATCCCTCCCACAGCAGAACCTGTCATGCCAGTATTGTAATCACCATCATTATCTAGCCTGTTAAGCGAAAATCTCCACCCAAACTACCCAGTTGCTCGCAGTTTGGCGTTACAGCGGCCGTTAGGACAAACTCGCACGTGATTCTTCATAAGACAGGGCCGCTTGCCCGCCCAGCACCAAAGTAGACTCTGATTGATCAAAAATCTCTATCCAACACTCAATTGTTTTCTAGTATCCGCTGTACCCCAGTTGCCAGTGATGTGTCCGAATGTCCAAATTGTCGTTACACGCACTCGGAATACGACGTAGTGTACATGAGTTTTTACCTGCTTTCGGGACGTTTAGTACACTTCGTGTGTCTTGGGTGTTTCTTCCACTGGAAACGCTAGCTTGTGAGATGAAACCGAGAACTGAGTTGACACCTTATCTTCAGTACATAGGCAGCCATCGTCACCTTTATAGTCCCCATAACATTACGGCGACTTATGCCCGCAACTGTGATTGGATTGGGGGTTGTACACAAACCTGGTGCAATTTGTCATTGAATTCAGTTGCATTACGTTTCACCGTATACAATCTAGGTTGGTAGCATTCGTCTCTCTTGCTCATTGTATCCGGCAATCACAGCGAACCATGTACTTACCACATTCATGAATCCGATGAGGCACAAAATTCGGGTAATCGTGATCGGTGTGAATGGTCAATGAGCATGGGTTTCCGGAGATTGTGTACCGGTTTCTCCCACTCATAGATGGCAGTAATAGAGTTCTGTTTTGATTGGGATTCAACCTTAGAAGACAGATACGCGTGCTTCCCCACACCATGGGCTAGACCAGCATGTCTTAGAATGGATGGCGAGTATGTGTCGTAAGAAATCGTGGACGGCTGGACTACTGGCACATTAGAGGTAACTGAGGCTGCAACTAAGTCGAGTATGAAAAATGCCTGTGCAAGCGGCGGTCAGCCGTGCAATTTTCAGCAACACAATACACACTGGCAACCTTCCCATGAGGAGACCTAAAAACTGTCAGTGGCGTCTTTTGATGGCTTATTGAGCAAACTTCAGGGGCCGTGTCGAAAGTACGAAGCACACAGACGCTCATTAAAAAGGTTACTTGCATACCTAAAGATTTGGCTTCTCCTAGGGTAAACTTAGAGAATGGTGTTTCAAAAACGGCAAGACTTAGGAGACGGTGCACCTCACATGTGGTCTATACAGTACCTGAGACACGGGATCTACATGCTCCAGTTGTTTACGAGCAGTCGTAGCCCATCCACCTGTTCAATCCAGTGTAGGCCAAGTGTCTAAGCCAGGACAGCCAACCGACAACAGAAAATCAATTGCTAACGCACATGGTGTTTGTTTTGACCGTTGTGTTTGCTCGATTGTGTATGCTACTTCATTTTGGACAAGTAGTTAGAAAGCTGGAGAAAATTGTAGAGCAGCAAATTCCCGTACAATAATGAAATTTGTGATGTCTTGACAACTGACTATTTAGTGTTCGTGTGGTACACAGCCAATGACAAGAATGACGAGAGTATACGTGGCTGGTACATACGATGTTGACACAAGGAATTTGCATTTTTGTTCTCACTTGGTCCTTGATGACCGTGGCTTCGTTGCCTTGAAGACTATTCAACGTTTTCCGGCCTCCGTTTATTTTGTTCTATAGCTCCGCGTGACAGTGATGCCCTTGTGACTATCGAACAATCAGCCGCTCCAGGTTCTGCGGTGATCATTTCGGCTTGTAGATTTTGCCTCAGAGATCCTGAAGGTGATGAAAAACTGGTACGCGGGACCTGCCTGGAATGCAGGACGTTGATACGTTCGTTTGTACAGCGGTCAACACGATTAGACGATTTAGCTTGCCTTCGGGACGCGTCATGTCATCTTGAACGCCCAGTATCCTGGGTTCCAACCAAAGATTTGTTGTCGAAGGTGCGCGCACGGCGTCTTCAACAGGAATATGGACCTCCTTCCGAAGATTGGTGTGATTCCTGCAAAGTTCACCATTGTCTCAAACTTGGAGCTAGACTGGCAGAGTGAGTTCCTGAAAGAATGTTTGTGACATATGCTCATAACAATACGCTTTAGGCAGTTATGGAAGTTTTCCTAACCTAGTAATTTTCAAGATGACACTGCTACCATATCCCAAGGTAAACCCAATGACGATTCGCAGTCAGACAGTTTACTGGAACACTGCCATATTTCGCTATTTGTGCCTCGGATAGCCCATACTGTTGTCATTTATGGCTTACCATCCATTTACGTGGCTCTGTGGTGCAGTTGCGTGCCTTCGGCTTCATGTGATCTCCAGCCACACTAGCACAGGTGACATAGCTATGTGTTCGTACGATAGCTTCGTTATTTGCCATTAAATTGGATAGGTCGTAGTGTTCGTCAAAATATTGACCCCGTATAGCTAGAGTACTGCGAGTTCTGATCAGTAGCTGAATGCACACCGGATTTCCTGTTTGCGGTAGTTTTTCTCTAGCACCATCGGTCCTCTGTTTCGTAATAGTAAATATTGCACTATACGAGGCAGCTATCCAGTCATTTGTTTTGACTGTGCCTAATCACTCACCATCATCATCATCATCATCCTCATCCTCATCCCTACCCTTTGATAGCACTTGACCAACTTCACCATTAAAACAGTTCTTACTATGCAAGATTCCTGATTCTAATGTTACGGCTTTTGATTATCTTTATTCCAGCCTGCTTATAAAATGACAACCCAATATACTGCATATCCAGCTGCTTCTCTGTCATACTACTTTTTTCAGCTTCTGCAGCAAGCGTGACAGACCGCAGTCCCTTTTGCGGTCAATAAATTTACAGCGTCTGGAAGATCCGGCTTTCCAACATCGAAGCCGGGAACGTCGTGTTTTGGAGTACTTAAATTTGGTGTCTCAGGACTACGCTGCGTTTCACCAGCACGTGCCCACTGATAGCAGACCGGGCTCATGTGCATCCGAATTGGATGATATGGCCCGCTTTCTGGATTGTTTGTGGGTGTGCCCTCTCTATCTACCTTCACGTGAGCACCTCAATTCACATGAACCTAGCTTGGAGCCTCCTTTGGATGTAGTGACAGATGATGTCCCAACTCAACCTTCAACACTCCCCGATAGACCAACAAACAAGTTTCCTAATATGAATTTTTTGGACGGAAATGTTGCGGAAATGTGCCCAGTTCAAGCCGAAAGTGTAATGACCCCGTCTTCTGCAACATCACAACAAGTTCACTGCTCCAATTCTCCTTCAGTTTCAAGTCCGGTAGCTTCCGTGGAAAAGCCAACTACATGGGACAGTTTTTCAGATTTGGAGTCACCAAAAGAGAGAAAAGCTCCATCTCCATGCTTGGTAGGATTGCCTGATCCAGTCATTGGACCACTGCTCACCGAGTTTCGTCCAAGCGATCGCGCTCCAGCTTCAAGTCTTTCTTCTAGCTGTGATGACCATACAGAGCCATCGCACAAGTGTCCACGATCTTCACTCCCATCACCTAAAATGCATCAACACCAACCCGATCTGGAATTACCTCCATTGGAAAAAACGCAAGAACAGGGAACCAGTGGTGTTACGGACGTATTTGGTGACGCGCCTAGCAGTCAATCTCCCTCACAGCAACTTTGTGAACCTGCTCCCGCACAAAGGCATTTATCAAGTTAGTTCGAATTACTACCTCGGACATTTTGCATCTCTGCTTCAGTTCCTATTGTACCACCTAACGCTGTCCTTTATTTCTCCCGTTACAAATGTTCTTGTTTCGGACAGTAAATTGGCCCCACCTGGCCTGGGTTTGCTATTACAGTAATTAACTGTGGTTGTGTTGTTATGATTGAACTAAGTCGTATCGAAACAAAATAGATTTTAGAAGTATTACGTGAAGTTTCTGGATCGGCCAAGAGATTTGTCTTCACTTTAGTGAGGTCGTTCGCCTTGTCACAAAACAGTGAAACTCTTGATCACCTTGACCTGCGGAAGGATTCCAATTGATCACCTTGCGGAAAGATTCCAAATTTTACCCCGTTGAAGCTTATTTGATCTGCACTCTCTCGTGGGTGTGTTATCGTAACGAGGCAATGTCTTACATGCTTGTGCAGTCAAATCAGTTTCGAACAAACGAATGTAATTAGGTTCGCTGCAATATTCAATCACTTTCGCAATAGAACCCAATAGCAGTTTTGTCCCTGCGGGGAGTTTAGTTGGATACGCTGGTATCATACAAGTTGGAGTGTAGTTGGTTTCGGAAAACATCAGATTTCCTGAGCTGAGCTATATATTAGGGCCTCATATATTTCGTGCTTTCCCTCTTTTACAACTTTATACTATTGTATTATTTTGGAGGCTCTAAACTTACCCGTTTTTTTTCTTTCTCGTCTGTTCAGGCCCCCCCTGTGAAGCTGTTTCCGCAACATACAACGAAGCAGTCGTTGATAAGACCGTATGTGCTCTTTGTACGTTTCGTGAGGGATGTGACCCCGTTGATGTGTGCATACGAAGTGGTCTTGCTCGGAAGCTGTTACGCAATAGTATGTATACAGTGAGTCTTGGTCCAGCGCAAATCCGAGGTCGCACGTGTGCATTTGAGGCGAATCGTTCTACAGTCCCCCGGAACCCATCGGTGGTAGGGTTGCCTGAACAACATACTAGTGAGACAGACCACTCAACGACCTTTAACACCCATGTCTCACCTCCGAGTATTGTTGTTGCTGACTCTGAGCCACCCTCCTGCATAGAACTTCAAAAACCAAATGTATCTGAACAACACATCACAATTGAGGAGCAGTGTCTTCAAGAAACGGACAATCAATCTGTAGAGAATATTTGTACTGGAACGGAGACGACAACCACAGAGAATCGTGTTGCTCCTATGTCACCAATGCTGGAGGTGACAAAGGCTCCCTTGGAGACGACCACATCTGTTGACAACGCCAGTGCTCGTCGACCAGACGATTTGGAGATCACGAATGAGTTCACCGAGTCGCCTGCTGTCAAAGTGGACTCGAAGCCAGTTCAGCTCTGTGCCCCTGAAATGCCGACCACTCTTAGAAGGCCTTTAGAGTAAGAATGTTTCCCCTACATTGGGAATTTTTCTCAGTTTATTGTTGGGAGGCAATATATGATGTTTTTTATTCGAATACCTCGCTTGGAGGCAACTGGATGTCTAACCATATGTCTTTACGACAGAGACTCGTTCCTGGTTTTAAAGATCAACTCTATCTTAAAGCGAGACGACTCATCAAAGCGCCACGGAGTCCTGGGGGTGGTTCCAAAAAATTTCATCAAGCTTTCTGTTCCACGAAGCTGTGTTCAATCAGGTTACCGTACATGGCTTCACTGTGCTCACAAAATAACTGTGATACCAAATCATTATCATCATCACTCAGCTGTAAGAACCGCGTACTCGTCGTACACTGGTTGTAGCTGCCGCAGTTTCGTTCACCGTTGATTTGGGGGGAGGGGTAGGTAGCTGCGCATTGCATGCCGGAGATGATAGTATGGTTGGTCATAGCTGAGACGCCAGTTCGTCTAACCGTTAAGCATGGACTAACTGCCTCAAAACGTGTCGAATTTCAGTCACCCTTATACCTTTTTCCTTAGCTGTTATTTTTACTTGAATTTTGAGCATGAGTATCCCAAAATACTCCTATTTTGACATGTACAATGAAGTTTAATCACAACGGCTTGGAGAGGAGACCATGTAGATATCACATAATGATCAAGCCCACCCTACTGCAACAGTAAGGCTATTTGAGTGTTATGTTGCTGGCTATGCCAGCGATCTCCTGTTGGCCATTCGTATTGCGCATCACTTGCCTTCAAAGGATGCCAAAGGTGAATGACTCGATTGATTTTTGAGGCTATATTCCGGGAATATAGTCACTACCACTTCCAAGCTCTCAGTATTGAAGTTTTTCTCAACTAATTCCTAGGTGGCTTCATGGGGGGCGAGATGGACCAAGTGGTTAGAGCGCCAATTTACTGACCAGAAAGTCCATGGTTCGAACCCGACCTCTGCCTCTCTATTTCCCCTGTCTAGGCTTGGGCAGTATCCCAGCCCTCGTGCTTCCTTCTGGTGGCATGGCAGCTAGGCACCGAAATAGTGCTACAGCTGAACGATTATTTTTCATAGGTCGATCGCGCCTTTATCCACTTTACTCGCATAGAATGCGTGATTAACACGTGTTTCTGCTTGTTCCTATGTAGAAAGGATAAGTTATACACGACGCTATGAAGAACTCATTTCACTTAGTTCGTATTCATCCTGTCAATCTTAATGTGTCTCGAATGAACCGGGAACTTAGAACCTCTGATAGTTGTCCGATTTTGGCCTGGCAATCACTGTAACGTTTCTGTTGGTCAACAAATTAAAATAAATCAACTGCTACATTTTTGTATGGATGTAAACGAATCACTTGTATTTCTGGTATTTTTTTCCTTTTAGTTCTCATCGCATCACATTGCTTGTTTGCGGACCATGCGTTTTGCAACTGAGGCATGCTGTGAAGAACTTGTTGGATACATTTTCTACAAGACACACTGACTGCGTCGCTCAACTCATGCTCAGACCCGATGCCTTTTGCTCTAAACGAATCGCAGCTTCAGAAGACAAATCTGAAAGCAATTACTGCTTGCAGAATGGCGTTTCCTCCATGTGTGGATCATGCTACCTGTATACTAATCTCCAGTATTTGTACAAAAATTTGAATACAACTCTGCCTGCCTATACAACAACTGATGTAGACTTTGTGTTACCCGTTGGCGGTCCACTGTTTCTTCCCCATAACTCACCTTCGACCGATTCGAAAAGTTTCTTCGAACGGTAAGTTGAATAACTAACTGGACGTGTGAACGACATGTTGTGACATGTTGTATCTCCCCAAATACGTCTTTTTTTTTGGTAAGTGTGATCAAATGTAGTGTAGATTGATGGGTAGACTGAGTGCACTTTGGTGAGTTGATCGTTCCAGTTGCGGCAATCATCGGACGTGATTTGCGAATGTGTGATAGTTTTTTCTCCTATTGAAGTAGCGTTATCTTTTCGAGGAACACACTCATTTGCAAATCAATTTGGTTTTCACGGGAGACTCAACTGAATCTCTCGCTTATGATATTCTACAACTGAATATGTTGCACACAGGCCGTCTTGAAGAGTTTTCAGCAACCTTGTGAGTAGTTTTCTTCATAGTGTTATCTTTCTCCTTAGTTGCTAAGCCATCCATAGCAGCTGAATGGTTCTTTTTATTTCAAAATGGCTCACTTTGCACCAACGTTTGGTTTTACGTTAGACCTGGTTTCACACTTCATCTGTACTAAATGACACACTGGTGACAACCTAGTTATTTTACTTCGGCTTGCTAAATGCTTTCTATCATGGCTGTTGGCGATTGAACTCTTGTCGATGCTACCTCCAAATCGACTCCAACTTCGTGCGCCTCAAACAATCCGTATACGGACATGTTCATGGTCGGTCTTGAGGACATGAGCAATAGTCGCACCTGAGTGTTTTTTCATGCTGTTTATCAACTTGTCTCCAATATCACGGATTTTAGACGATCTGGGAGTTGACGCGGCTGTCACCCAGCCTACGGGCGATTTCACGAGTAGTCTGGTTATAGGAGTATCCAATTATACATTTTCCTTCCCTCGGGGGCGAGATGGCTCAAGTGGTCGGAGCGCGAATTTACTGACTGGAAGGTCCGTGGTTCGAACCCAACCTCTGCCTCTCGACCTTCCCTGCCTAGGCTTGGGCAACCTGGCAGTATCCCAGCCCTCGTGCTTCCTTCGGTTGCCTTGCCGGCTAGCCGGAAGGGTGCTGCAACTGAACGACTTTCTTTCTTCTCTTGTAGTCTACAACCATCAGCCAGAGGAAACAGTTGACCTTGATCCTAACCCTCATTCTTGTTCTATTACCGTTATGTCAACGAGGCTACCGGTCCGGATGGGTTACAACTTGATTCCTCCCGAAGAAGACTTGCTTCGGGCGTAAAATATGCTTCCAAGGCACTAATTTAACGATAGTCCGTGAGTACAGTAATGTAGCGACCGATCCTGAGTTGCGCACTCCGCGCAATGCACACAGTGCGTTTATTGGTTCATGAGTGCCCTTGATGAAGAGAAAAACGGCCGAATGATCAACAGGCAACGGATATGGAGACCGTTCTATTCAAGCAATGAAAACACCGAATTTGTCTCCCGTTTAGGCGTTAGCTGTGTGGCTGCTGATGCGTTGTCATTACTAATTATTTCAGCATTTACGTTTTGTGTATTCCCACGCGGTTCTCACAAATAGCTGTTAAAGCTTACGTGCAAGCTTTCAGTCCCAATAGCTATTCTCTCACCTATCGTCATTTTTTACTCCGGCTTCCATCCCTCAGTCGAATACAAACAAAGCTCCACCAGGCTGAAAGCCCTGAACCATTGGTCTGTCTCTGCTGTCGCACACGTGCCGAATTTTTAAGCATGTATGAAGTCCGGGGACCCAATATTATAATATGTTCCGGTTGTTTATGGACGTTCAAGGCAGGCATCGGCGCTTCTAATTCCGCCATAATGGTTAAACGCATGGCTGGACGATTGGCTTCGGCCGCCGCGGCAACTGACGCGACCGTGCCTCTTTTATCACTGGCCAATCGGCGGATGCTGGTGGACACAGCGCGACTTGCTCTTCTGATTTCCACTCCTTGCACAGGAGAATGTTTAAAACAGGCTGCAGACCCGCTTTGGTTAACATGTCCTGCCTGCACAGTTCGTCGGTGCCATCGTCTTCTTCCGTTAATCTTACCACTGCACCCTGCTCATTGGTACCGCCGCCGTGTCAAGCTTTTGACCAGGTCAACTCTGTTGGAAGACCTAGATCCTCGCCTCATGTTGCCCGAATCTGAGGTAAGATTGCAACTTAGGTTTCGGATTGGTTATGTTCCGTGTACATCCCTCTTTCGTTTTGCTGCTTAGCCCAATATACTCTGTTCACCTTTGTACGCACGTCACCTGATAGTCGCACCCATGATAGTTTCAAGAGCAACCACAAACTGATCAGATAAAATGAACCGCTGCCAATCAATCACTTCACTAACGTCATGCTTCTTCAATGGCGCTTTGACCTGCACAACTCAGTGGGTTCGAGCACACCAACCATCCAATCACCTTCACACGCTAATTCACAGTTGGGCTATTGATGTTACTTTTAGCGTGCCAGAAACGTGTGCGTAACTGTTGATGGTTCGTTTTGGATTACCCGGACAGATTATGGGGCTCATGGTCACACCTGCTTATAGTAGTTGCGGATTATTTTTTTCAATTTGTGCTCTCGTTCAGACTGCTTTTTCGCCGTCTCGGTGTGAACAAACCAGAGTAATTGTTAAAGCACAGGCATGGCTCCCATACATCTGTAATCGGGATGTTTGCGCTTTAGTCAACCGGTGGGCATCAGCCAATGACAAATCAATCATACTGGGTGATAATCCAGTTTATTTTGGGATCCACCAAGCATCTTCTGTGGCTCTGGGGGGGGGGTTGTTGTTTGCAGGGATGATGCGATATAGAGAAAAATTCCGTGTCCTGAAAATTGTCTCGGAATGTCCTCTTTTTTTGAAGGGAGGTATTATAATAGTTTAGATTCAGATTGCTGAATCTCTCGCGTATGGAACATGGAATTTTTTTTGCTTTGGTCTTTTGCCTCCTGACTGAATTCGTGTTAAGGTGTTGGGCGTCTTTTTTACTTACCTCTCTATGGTTTTGAACAGCTTTTCGGTGTTAGAATTGCCTAATAAACGTATTTTGTTGACCCAACTAAATATGTGCGGATTCCTTCGTATCTAACACACTCTACTTCCCTGTTTCTATTTATTTAGACGTCTGTCTTAGGAATCCGAAAGCACCCGCACCCTCTCGCGTAGGAACATGGAATTTTTTTGCTTTGGTCTTTTGCCTCCTGACTGAATTCGTGTTAAGGTGTTGGGCGTCTTTTTTACTTACCTCTCTATGGTTTTGAACAGCTTTTCGGTGTTAGAATTGCCTAATAAACGTATTTTGTTGACCCAACTAAATATGTGCGGATTCCTTCGTATCTAACACACTCTACTTCCCTGTTTCTATTTATTTAGACGTCTGTCTTAGGAATCCGAAAGCACCCGCACCGTTACTCTTTAGCGGATGTAGATTATACCGCGTCAGTCATAGAGCGTTGGTTGATGCCGCCAGAACCTCCCGCCGATGTGGAACCATGCGAAACATTGGATTCAGAAATGGGACATGTGTCAGGTGTGTCCTCCGGGGAGGAAGATTCCGTTTCTTTTTCGGGAGATGAAATACTCACTGAAAGTAGTGGATTTTCAACACCGTCCTCCATCTCAGCATTTTCTAACCACGAATCCGAATATGGTGGACTTAGTTGGTGGGATGGCGAAGAAGTTCTAGAACCAACCGGAAAGTCGTCCCCCAGTGGGGATGTGGACAGCTCCGAAACAGAACCAGAGACCGATGAGGTTCGTGCGGAATTGGTAACTGTTGTCCCACAAAAGCGTAAACGCAAGCCATCTCTCAAAGCTGCAGAGGTGGAAGCAGATGTAATTAATCGAAAATCAAGTCGAATTTCGTCCAAAAACGTACCTCCCGGGGAATCTTTGGCGCTTGACACCAACAGCACTCTCAAACCTTGCGAACAACCCACTGTGTCTGAGTTCGATGAGACACCGGTTTCTGATAAATCAGCTGAAAAAACTTTCCCGATTGCGGATGGTTCAGATAAACCAGGATCACCCAAGGAACGCACTCGTCAGAAATCCTCGGCCAGGGAGCCTTCACGCCCCCCGACTTCAGTTGAACCTCATGACGGAGAACCCAATGACTTGGTGTCAAATTCAGAGGCCAAGGTGCCCTCGGTCAAACGTAGTGGCAACCCCCCTGAACGGCTCATCATCCACGGAAAGCGGAAACTGAAAATTAATGTATGTATTCCGGTTGTACTTATGTTGTGCGGGCTGTTCCGCTTCTATTTCAAATTTATACAGAGACAAATTCCATCATTTCTCACCCAATAACCATCCATAGTTAATCATCATCCCTCAATCATCAGTGACCATGAATCACTCTCAGTTACCAATCAATCAGCATTTATCGGCCGCAAATCGTTAGTCAGTAATCCTCAACCCCCACCCACCAGTCAGTTACCAATCCTTTGGCACCAGTCACTACCTATTAGTCAATCACCATCCACAGTCCAACGCCAAAACGCTTTTCGGCGAGTGAATCACTGGTATGCATGTACATGTGGGTTGTACCTTCATACAGAGATATGAAGCGACGATTATCTCTATAGTTCACCTGACCCATTTACGGAAGGTTTTTTGCGACCGTTTAAATGGGGGCACAACATGGTACTGGAATTTCAAATATATGGGGCAAACAAGGCCTGTCGAGCTTGTATGCGTCAGCCGACCACCCTAACATGAGTTGTCGTGTACCTCGTCGTTTCACCGTTCTGTACCGTTCCATTTGTGCTCTTATCGCGGCAAAACACTAAGACGATAGCATGCATGTTGAAACATGGACACACTTTTTATCCAAAAACGACAGCATGTATGTTGAAACATGGACACACTTTATCCACCTCAAAAGTTGTATTCATTGACCTTCCGGTCAGTTACATGAATTCAAATCGCTATCTGAGAGGATGGGTTACCTTTGGTTGTGACAATATACCACGGGTGTGATAGTTAAATATCTTTATTTCGGACGTCTCTCTTACCAGGTCTTTAGCTCCAGGGATGATTTAGACAGTCGGTCGTATACTGAAACTTGCGTGGCGTATAGCCCATCTTGATTCTTTGAAATGTGACAAAGTAGGGTGTGTTGATTTGTCGGATTCCAGCTTGTTGGATTCACTTTCGTTTCCCGCGTCATATGAACTCATCATTTCACTATATCGTCATCGTTTTCACCCTGTCTACCATGTCCTGCGTTTTTGAGAGGATATTTGTAGAAGGGTTCTGGTAAAGTTCCACGCCAATGTTACACTTACAAGGTGTAACTCTAGTGACGGATGATAAAAAGATTTCATTGTTTGATACAAATACTCCTTGTGGCACATTTACTAATCTATTTTGAGGTTTAATACCTCAGCTTGTAGTAGAAATTCGTGGATTTGTCGTATTGGTTTCATTCGGGGGACTACAACCTATTAAAGATGGCTTACCAGGTAGAGACTACTTCTCTCTTGAGGGAATGGTTGGTACCTCAGGTTGCGTAGATTACGGGTGTTCTGTAAGCTGAGTTGATGTCATCTCTGCTGCGTTCAAAACGTTTGCAACTAAATTGCCAAGCTTAGGGAACAGGGGCTGTTGCGGATAAATTAAGCTATATCATCGGACGGCTTATCCACAGGCTCTGGGAGGTAGGTTTCACCTAATTTTGCAGCCGTGTGTAAGAAAATGCCATCCCACCCATCCCATTCACGTGGTTTAATCTGGATGTTTACCTGGGGTTAAGAAAACTTCAAAATATGGCATGTTACTATGTAACACTGATTCCCGCGTACTGCACTTCGAGGTAAACACACGGTCTGTGTGCTAGTTAAGCCTTTATTTCTTATCAACAGTTTCCGGTAATTTTTGCAGGTCTTGGTTAGATTAGATGGCTCTTCATCCAACTTGACAGTGTATTTGATAATATTTGAATGAGTCAATCCTACCGCTTCTTTCTGCTTTGTGGTTTTTCAGCACCGATTCCTGGACGATTATGACGGTAATATTCCCTGTCTCACTGGACAGGGGCGGCGAATTCGTGATGAGTCTTGTGGTAGTCGTGGATCGAATTCAAGTGTCAGTAGTCGTGCTAGCGGATCCAGCATCCTTACTCGGAGAACTTATTCCAGTCGAGCCTCCTTGCTGGCACAGAAGCGAGCTCACGCCTGTTTGAATAACCGTGGTCGGACTACTGTCGTTAGCCGCTCGAATGCTGGATCATCAAAAGGCCATTCCAATTTACTGGATGACACACCGTGTCCCGAAGAAGCTACGAATCTATCGGACAGATCTGTCGAGGAACCCAGTCGTGTTTGTGGTGTGGGTCCTCGGGTCAAGCAAATTAGTCGTCCAGCCATCAAGTCAGGTTGGTTTCCACTGACTTCTGTTTATTGACTGACTACATTTGTCATAGGTAATCATATAATCGTTCAGCTGTAACACCTAGCTGCCATGCCACCCGAAGGTTGCACAAGGGCTGGGATACTGCCAGGGTGCCCAAGCCTAGATAAGGGAAGTCGAGAGGTGGAACCACGGACCTTCCGGTCAGTAAATTCGCGCTCTAATATTTGTCATCTTGAGATTAGACTATGCTTTTTCGAAGCTCAATAGGCTTAGTGCAAACGACCGCGTCTTTGGTTTTAGAGGGTTACGCAGGCATGATAGTACTAACGATTGTCATAAGAGTAGGTGGAAAGCGAAACCCCGAGCATATTCCTCTATTCACATGGTTGTGCACACTATCGTTCAGCTGTAGCACCCTTTCGGTACCTAACTGCCATGTCACCCGAAGGTTGCACAAGGGCTGGGATACTGCCAGGGTGCCCAAGCCTAGATAAGGGAAGTCGAGAGGTGGAACCACGGACCTTCCGGTCAGTAAATTCGCGCTCTAATCACTTGGGCCATCTCGCCCCTTGAACCATAGATCTCTACTCCATAGAGCTTTACTCTTCCAACACCAAAATTCCAGGTACTTCATTCGAATAGCATGACAACTGTGCACCGGAAAGATCTCGTATCCCAATAGCCATCGCTATTTTTCTAATGGAAATATTGGAGGTTGCTCAATGAATTCAATAGTTGAAACAATCTGGCATTCCGACCATTAAGAGGAACTCGAGACATCTCAGTGGTTATGGTGCGAGCTAACTGACCGAGAGTCCCTGATTTCAATGTGACCTCTACATCTCGACTGCTCCTGTCTAAACTTGGCGGTCTGGCAGTATCTCGACCCTCGTGCTTCCTTCGGGTGGCATGGCACCTCAAAGGTGTTACGGCTAAGCTATTTTTTCTGACAACGAAGAGTCATCATCATCGACAGCATAACATCAGTGTTCAACACCGATGCTTTACTGCCGTACAACTATGACTTATTTGAAAGCCTTATTGTAAAGAAAGGAGTAAAGGTGGGCGGGGAAGGGACTTAGTGCTAGCTTAATACAATCATTCCGAGGTACCTACACCTCCAGACATTCACTCAGGTAATCTGGATAGAAACTGACAACAAAGACGCCACTGACATCGGTTGGCAGCCATATCTTGTACTGTCTCCAACTAGGCGCGGTGAGGAGACAACGAAGAGTGGGCTTTTTCAGAAAACACGTGGGAATTATCATTCAAGCAGAGGCGAAGACGGGCTATTGTCTTATCAACTAGATCGCCCTCTGTTCACTTTCTCCATGAATAGACAATGCTTCTCAGTTTTTCCAATATTTTTATAAGCCTACGGCACGGCGCTAAAACCCTTTGGGAGCGGAGTGGTTGTGGTGCATTCGGTGGTTTCGTGGTAAGCGGACGAACCAATGTAGCAAGCACCGTCTGAAGTATCCTAATCCATTTCCCTGCGCCATGTTTGGCATCTTTTCTATACCTACTTTTTCTGAGTTTGTCATATGTTGCCGTAGAAGCTCAGGCCCCAGGCAATCAGCACCGTCGACCGTATAAATCTGACAAAGTCTACGCAAATTTTGTGAGTGGCTGAGATTTGTTTGCGTTTGATATCAAAACGCTAATTAGAAACTCAAGAATTCACCCGTAAAGCCCGTAGGTACCAGTGAAAATGACTGCACTATGTCGCCGGTACTATGCTCTGGTTAACGTTGAATCACGTCGCTCATCCATGTCTTTCGCTGTCCACTTTACAGAAGAAAGTCGTTACACCACCGCCTTGTCTGCTATGGTTCACGCTGCCCGACTTGCTGCAGTGGGCGCCAAAGTACCCGGTGGCACAAGCCCCAAGCACGCAGCTCTAGCAGCTACCGCCCGGTCTAACGTGGATGATCTTAGTGACACGAACCAAATGGAGATCAGCTCCATGCCTCAAGACAGATCACCTACTGCAGTTGTTGGGAGATCGGGTTTCGCTCAGTCACTACCCGATCGCTGCGGCCAATGCCCTGCATGTTGTGGGTTGGTTCAACCTTGTGGAATATGTAATAATTGCCGGTAGGTCTTTGTCTGAAAAAATGGGTCAGTCTTTTGGAGATATAAGTGATTTCTCTACTTCCCATGTTTTATCCGTTACAGGTCACTTCAAGAAATAAACAAAGGAGGGTCAGAAATGAAGCGCCGACCATGCAAGTGAGTATTTTTAGTTGTTTTGTTTCCTCACAACAATCCACCTTCTTTTGTGTACGGTAGATCATCATCATCATCATCATTATCAGCTGTAATAACCGCGTACTGGTCGTACACTGGTTGTAGCTGCCACAGTTTCGTTCACCGATGATTGGGGGGTAAGTAGCTGCGCATTGCACGCGCGAGCTGGTAAAT